CATACATACATACATACATATATATATATATATATATATTTCTGTTTAGCTTTAATTTATTTTTATTTAAACGTTAGTTTGTCAAGTTTTATACATACATATATTATTACAATGTACACCAATTGTCACCAATACATTCCTCATTCTTTATTTACTGAAGAAAAATCATATTTTGCATTAAAAAAAAAAAGAGTCTTCCAATTTAAAATGGTTAAAAGATATAAAACTGTGTGTTTGTGTGTGTTATTCATACCTGCAGTATGCCACAGGCTCCTCCCCTTTCTCTGGAACTGGGAGGGACAGGGATTCGGAGCACGAGGAGAAGCCGGTGTTGTCCAGTGCCATTATGTGTGTGTGTGTGTGTGTGTGTGTGTGTATGTGTGTGTTAAGCAGTAAGTGAATTTGTGTGTGGTAACAATGTTTCTCAGAGCCTTATTCTCAGTTGCAGAGTTTCATTTGTGCCTTTGTTTGATTTCTGCAAAAAAGACAGTGAGAGAGACACAGATAGACACTGATAAAAACCAAAAAAGACCTAATTAACAAGTTTCACCAATGGGCTGAAAGGTTTATAACAATCTCTCATGACATTGTCAGGGTTTTTAAAGTAATTTGCACCCACCAAAAAGGAAACGGCTTTATTTCACTGCTGATTATTGCTTAACATTAATTTTAAGCTTGCCTTTCATTCACTGCCCCCGTTATGCATTAAGCATCCAATTAACTGCCTGAAATTAACTTAAGTAGATTACATTGATGACTTCATGCAATTCAACCTTAAAAAAAAAAAACATTTTCCATATCAAACACACAGTTGATGAAGGTTGTTTCAATACACAGTCTAACATCCGATCTGTTATCAGAAGAGCTCTTAGCAAAGAACACAAACCCAAAGAGCAGAATGATATATGGATGTCTAACTTGACTTGAATTAACCTCCGGGTTCAACAGCTAAACACATTTTCACAAGAAAGCGAAAAGGCAGCAAGAGGATTTAGGCTCACTTTGTGTTGCTTTTAATCCACAGCTCTGATGCCCACACAAATACAAAGGCACCCAGAAACGGGCAACCGTCCACGTGATACTAAACATACAGGTCTGCATTTCCCAAAAGCATCATAAGCCTAAGCAGATCATAGAATCCATTGCCATCAACTGTCTCTACAATATACTCAGGCTTACGATGCTTTTGAGAAATGCAGCTGAGTACAATTAAAGGATTGTTTGAGGTTCTAAACAAGCAAAGATCTATACCAATGATGCTGCTGATTGCCACAGACAATAATTTTGATTTGTTTCAAAATAATGCACTTACAATGGAAGTCTATGGGACAACACAGTCAATAAATGTGCAGTCTGTGAATTTCTGTGAAAGCCCATATTCATTTTTTTCTATAAAAATGTGTGCTATATGAGCTATAAAGCTGTCTATTTCGTCCTTTTAGCAGTGATTACTTGTCAAAGTGGGTTCCAGTAGGTGGATTTTTTCTATGTAAACAGTCAATTTTTTGGTATGTTTTCAATGCATAATTCACTGCCTTGAAATGGTCGTGACAGAAGAAAAGTAGATGTAATGTTGAAAACACAGTGGCAGTAAGTGATTTTATCAGACTAATTTCATGTTAACAAGAGTTATATAGTAAATTTATGGGGCCACGGCATTTTGACCTTTTAACTTGTGCAAAATTTCAATTGTATCTAAACTAAAACCATAAAAAATATTTGTGTTAGGTGAAATTAAATAAACTACAAATATATATATATATATATATATATATATATATATATTAGATAGTTCCAAAGGCATTCTCATTTTCATTTAGTTTAAATTGATACTCATTTTTAAACTTGAAAAAAATGTTTAATCAAAATTAAATTGAAAACAGAAAATATTAAAATACAAACCAATTCAAATAAAATAATAATAACCATACAGATAAAATAATAAAACCCAAAATAATAATAAAAATCAGTGATACTAAAATAAATACCCATAGAGTTCAATAGTAAGCAGGGTTATTATCGTTAACACTGTTACTTGAAATAAAATAAACATTAACCATAATAATAATAATAATAATAAACTTATTTCAACTAGTTTCCAAGTCATAATTTCTCATTTTCCATAAGTTTAACTTGATGTAATAAAATAACTAAAACTGAAATAAAAAATACAGAAATGTTAAATAAAATGAAAACTATATAGAAATGTAAAATGAAAAAAATGAAAATGACAAAAAATCACCACACAAAATTACTAAAACTATAAATGACAAAAAAAGAATAAAGTAAATAATGAATTACAAAAATAATAAAAACTATAATAGTACCTCAATGATACTAAAATAACACTGATTGTAGGTGCACTGCAGTAAACAAACCTTTATTCGTTTGACTCTGCTGTCATTTTCAAAGCATAACTGTGAGTTTAAGTAGGGTGACCATACGTGCCATTTTCCCAGGACGCGTCCTGCGTGACAGAAGAAAAGTAGATGTAATGTTGAAAACACAGTGGCAGTAAGTGATTTCATCAGACTAATTTCATGTTAACAAGAGTTATATAGTAAATTTATGGGGCCACGGCATTTTGACCTTTTAACTTGTGCAAAATTTCAATTGTATCTAAACTAAAACCATAAAAAATATTTGTGTTAGGTGAAATTAAATAAACTACAAATATATATATATATATATATATATATATATATATATTAGATAGTTCCAAAGGCATTCTCATTTTCATTTAGTTTAAATTGATACTCATTTTTAAACTTGAAAAAAATGTTTAATCAAAATTAAATTGAAAACAGAAAATATTAAAATACAAACCAATTCAAATAAAATAATAATAACCATACAGATAAAATAATAAAACCCAAAATAATAATAAAAATCAGTGATACTAAAATAAATACCCATAGAGTTCAATAGTAAGCAGGGTTATTATCGTTAACACTGTTACTTGAAATAAAATAAACATTAACCATAATAATAATAATAATAATAAACTTATTTCAACTAGTTTCCAAGTCATAATTTCTCATTTTCCATAAGTTTAACTTGATGTAATAAAATAACTAAAACTGAAATAAAAAATACAGAAATGTTAAATAAAATGAAAACTATATAGAAATGTAAAATGAAAAAAATGAAAATGACAAAAAATCACCACACAAAATTACTAAAACTATAAATGACAAAAAAAGAATAAAGTAAATAATGAATTACAAAAATAATAAAAACTATGATACTAAAATAACACTGATTGTAGGTGCACTGCAGTAAACAAACCTTTATTCGTTTGACTCTGCTGTCATTTTCAAAGCATAACTGTGAGTTTAAGTAGGGTGACCATACGTGCCATTTTCCCAGGACGCGTCCCG